CACACACACACACACACACACACACACACACACACACACACACACACCGGAATTGTTCCAATAGCCAATAAACCTCTAGCTAAACAAACCAGTGCTGCCTGTCTACACTGATATGGTCCATGAAGATTAGCAGATCTGGTCCCTGTACAGCGAGACCACACTGTTGCATCCAATTCATGATGGGAATTCATGTGACTTACGGAACCATCTTGTTGCTGAGCATATAGCTTAAGCCACATACTAATTGAAAAATTATTGATGGTACTTCTTACTCAAAGTTACTGGTATGTGGTGAAAGTATTGGAGAGAGAACAGACAGCTCTTTCTTCATTAAAAATCAATAGTTCAAAATATTCTATAAAAAAAAGAAGTAAGCTAAGAATTTGCACCTCGTTTTGGAAGCAGGACATCTGTTTCTGGGGATATCCTACGAAATAGTATTATGATATTTGATATCACTCAGAGTCAGATCTTGAGAGTTGGGTGGGACATCAGTGGCCATTAGTCCACCCTGTACCTGAAAAGAATCACCACTACAAAATGCCCCAAACTGGTCATTTAGCCTCTGTTTAAGACCTCCAAGAAAAGAGAATCCATTACCTCTCTTGGCAGCCCATTCCATTTTTGGACAGCTCTAATTATTAGGAAGAGGCAGCTAGGTGGCTCAGGCATAGAGCACTGGGGCCGGAGTCAGGAAGACCTCAGTTCAAATCCAGCCTGAGACACTTACTAGCTATGTGACCCTGGGCAAGTCCTTAACCCTGTTTGCCTCAGTTTCCTCATCTGTAAAATGAGCTGGAGAAGGAAATGGCAAACTACTCCAGTAGCTCTGGCAAGAAAACCCCATGGACAGTATGATCCACAGAGTCATGAAAAAAAGTAAGACAGGAATGAACAATGGAACAACAATTGTTAGGAAGTTAATGCTGACATCAAGCCTAGACTGATGTCTTTGCAATGCCCACTCGGTGTTCCTACTTCTTCCTTCTGGAACCAAGTAGAATAACTCCAATACCTCTTCCACTTGGTAACTCTTGACAACATACTTGAAAACAGTTATCATGGCCTGCTCCCCTTCCCAGTTGTCCCTTCTGCAGATTAAACATGTCCAGTATTTTTCATCCTCATATGAAAAGGACTCACGGCCACTCTGGTTGATCTCCCCCGATCCTCTCCAGGTTCTTAATATCCTTAAACTGTATTGACTGGGTTGTAGAGTCATTCTTGTCCTAAGAGCTTCTGAAGCTTTCTAAGCTCACCTCCATGTCTTTTTTTCTTTAGCCCATAGATATTGTAGGGTTTTTTTTTTGTTGTTGTTGTTGTCATTTATTTGACTTTTGGTTTTGGTTTTTGAAGAAAGGTTGATAAATCCTGTAATCCCGTGTTAAGCAGCAAGAACCTAGGCTCAGTCAATGTGTTCACATGCTGACTGATGCTTGTAGTTTAAGTTTAGAGTCTTATTTGAGTTAAAATATATTATTGATTTATAGCAGCAATACAAGTCCGCTGTGGGAATGTGCTAAGAGTCTTTCCCTGCTGAACCTTGTTCATCTTTAACTGCACCAGACACTTCATTTAGTTGTATATTTTATTTTAAAGTAGAGCACACGATATTGACTAAGGTCAGAGTTGTAAACTTAAGGCATATGAAATTATTTGGCCATTTTACTGACGCCTGTAAAGTAGGAATTCTTTCCTTCCTGTGTTGCTGAGGTGGCATGGAAAACTTCTGTCCTCTTCTCTAAAATTTCCCTAAGTTAGTCATCCTTTTAAAGTGGTTTAAGATAAATGAAACTTATGAATGCATATTATCAGTGTTAACTTTTAAATGTTACACATATCAGAATCAATACAGTAGTGGAAGCAAATGGGGTTCTGGAAATATCACCATCATAAGCCTGAGAAAGTGGGCTGGGTTTGTCAATTATGTGCAATTTGTATTTAATCGTATCATGCAAGTGATATTTCATTACCTGAAACCTCTGCGATAGCAAAAGAGATTTACCAACCGAGGAATGTATTGGGCAAGGAAAAGGGGAAAGGAATGGGCTGGATTTCTTTTTACTGGGAGTTTTTAGAAAATTGAATCATTTTCCTTAAAAAAAAGAAAATAGTTACCTTTTTATTTTTATAAATTACAGATTCCACTCCTTCTTACTGTTTATGGGCCACCCTCCCTATGCGATCCGTGATGTGAACATTAATAAGTTCTGTAGAATCATCAGCGAGTTTGCCCTGGAATATCGCACTACCCGAGAGCGGGCCTTACAGCAGAAACAGAAAAGAGCAAACCACAGAGAGAGGAACAAGACCCGAGGGAAAATGATCACTGATGTAAGTGCCAAGAAATCTGCCTCCTGCCAAAGAGTTTGCTTTTGAGTAAAATAAATAAACATGGCTCTCTGAATGCCAAACACGGGAGCCTCGCTCTAACATTTGGATTCAAGAGCTTTACCTTAAACCAATATTTATAATTAAATACTTTGGGTAGCTAAGCTCCCTCCAAGGTCCAGGGCTGCGTTCTCGTTCTTGTTACCATCTCTGCTCCTCGTGTGAGATTACTCTCTATAGTGAATCATCTTAGGGCAAGGTGTTTTAGAGGTTTAAGATTAATTCACTTAAAGGGCAAGGTTTTTCAGTGGTTTAAGATTAATTCACTTAGTATTCGTGAGATGTAGAATCTCTGTACTCACATTGAGTTATTCCATGATCTTTTCTACATCAGTTTTTTCCACGTCGGTCTATTTGAATCAAATAAGAAAACATGCAAAGTTTGCAAAACTTGAAGTGCTATATAAATGAGTTTTTATTGTTGATATTGTTATTATTATTATTATTATCATCATCATTATTACTAGGCCTGACCAGGACAAGCCATGAGGAATAAATTTAAAGGAAGTGTCAGAAGCTCATATAATAAATGAAGAAAGCCGTTGTGTCTATATACCATGACAGAGTGCCTGGTGTAAGGGTTGATTCCTATGACTTAAACTTCTGAACAGTGGAGTTCTGTGATCAAGCAAACGGACAGCCTAGTCCAGTCATTTGAACAACAACAAAGTTATGTGTCTCATTTATTTTGGTTGTTCAGATAACCAATTGAGCTTGACTCTGCAGGCCATAGAATCAAAACCTAGAAAGCTGAAAGGGATCTTAGAGACCATCAAACTCCCAACCAAAGTAGGAATTCCCTCCCACAACATCCCAGAGAGAGTCATTCAGCCTCTGCTTAAATACTTCCAATGGCTTTGCCAAGTAGCCTACCTTTGTGGCCATAGGTTCATCATTTAAACTCTGAGCCTTAATTGATTCAACTGTAAAATAGGAATAATAGATGGACTAGCTAGGTGGTAAGAGCGCTGCACTTGGAATGTAGATAGACCTGAGTTCAAATCTCACCTTAAGTACTTATTAACTGTGTGATCCTGGGCAAATTATTTAACCTCTGTCAGCCTCAAAGTCCTCATCTGTAAAATGAGGATAATAATAGCACCTACCTCAGGAGCTTGTTGTGAGGATAAAAGGAAATATTTGTAAACCATTTAGCTTAGTACTTGACTTTGTAAACCTTAAAGAACTATATAAATGTTTTCTTTTGTCATTAAGATTATTGAGAGGAAAATGCTATGTAAACTTTAACATACTATGTAGTGAGTTACACAAATGTAAATTATTATAATATTATTATCATCATTTAATTTTGGACATCTCCAGCTGTCAGAAAGGTTTTTTTGTTTTGTTTTGTTAATTTTGAACCAAAATCTGCCCAACCCACCCCTATAACTTTCATTAATCTTAGTTCTTTCCTGTAGAACTATAGAGAATAAATCTGCTCCCTCTTCCAATCTTGTTAATTGGAAGGCAACTCATAAATAATTTATCTACATACTAATTAGAGATACATGGACACACTGTATAACTTAGCTTTTAAATTTTTCCCATCAAACCTCCCTCCCCAACCCTTACTATATACAGAGTCACAAGTTCATAGAAAAGAATATGCAGGACCTGGTTCCACACCCATTTAACCAAACCTTGAAAAGTGAATTCGTACTTCCAAGGATTTTCTCCAGTTCAGAGAGGAAAACCCTCTGCCCTCTCCCTTCATTTTGACCAAAATGTTAGGGGGTGATTCCTGAGAAACTCCCCGTTGAGTGGTCAACTCTGATATTGGCAGGTCATGCATTTAAGCTACTGAAAAAATTAAAAAGAATAGTTTTTATTGGTTGTACTCATAGAGACCAACTTCAGCTGTGCTTGATTAGATAGGTACGTGAGCTCTTAGAGATATTTTAAGTGGTGTATTCATGGGGCCTAACCTTGAGGATTGTTCCATCCCCAAGGAGCAAGGGTCTGACATTACCCCAGTATAAGTGCAGCTTTGGAGGAGGAGGAAGAGACAGTGCAGTTTAAGAAAAGCCGAGATACAATTAATCTATCAACCAGAATTCACTAAGTACTTACTATGCCCCTAGAAAGATGTTAGGTAATATAGGGTATTCAGATGCCATGTGATACCACTATGACTATCCCCAAAGCTTAGAGTCCAGTTACCAAGACAAGACATATAAAGAAAAAGTTAGGGAAAATAGAGCAAAGTCTATAATTAAATGCTAAATTGCTTGATTGAGACTGTGATTACTGTAGCAGTTCTGAGGTGGGAGGCATGTACCCAGAGTACCTGGGAAAGATTTTTCAGAGGTGGTGAGATTTAGGCTGAGCATTAAAGGGTAGTTAGGATATGCCAAGACAGAGGAGAACATTGAAGACCCTCACTTCAAAAGTGTTGCTTTGTGGAGATGCATGTCACTTCCACAATTTCTCAGCCTCTCATTCCGTAAAGAATTAAGCCAACTCAAACCAGTTTCTAAAATGATCCAGTTTCTGAATGGAAACACACATAGGAGACCTGATCCCAGAGATACCATTAGTTTGCTGCTTGGTTTTGGGCAGGCCACTTCGCCTCTTGTCCCTGAGCTTTCTCTTTTGTAAAACAAGGGGAATTGCACTATATGATTCTATAGGTCCCTTTTAGCTCCGAGAGTCTACAATTTTTTTTTTTTACAAACCTCAGTAGCCCCTGAGAGCATATCTATATTATTTAGCATAGTTGGGAACGATGACCTCTAGGTTCCCTTGCAGAGTATTTTGATAATAAGGGAAAAAAAGTTACTTAATATTCTCTATTTAAGAAATCAGGGAAGTGAATGATATATTTCAGAAAGATTTCCATCCAAAATGATTAACTAGATATAATCAGAAAATAACAGTACAATTTGGTTAAAAGCAGAGTGCCATCATTCTCCTCATCAGTGAGTTCTGAATTCTTGCTTTTCATTTTTTTCTTTATTTAAAGTTTATTTAAAGTTTAGATCTACTTTGTGCAGCAACAGTTTCCCAGCCTTCCAGGGGTTCACATCTGGAATATCAGCTCTGTCTCTGCTCATCTCTCTTCTACCTCTGACACCAGAAGCTTATGGTTCAGTATTGTGGTGGCCACATTTTCTATCTCAAAGGCCAACAGAGGACGTTAACTATGGCTCATTGGAAAGAGCACTGGATGGAGAGTCAGAGGACCTAGGTTCAAATCCTGGCTCTCTGTCTGTCTGATCTTAGACAAGTGATTTCATCTTTTGGGGCCTTAGTTTCTTCATCCATCAAATGAGGAGACTGAAATAGATAACTTTTAAGATTACTTCTGGTTCTAAACTCTATAATCCCATGATATTATTTTTGCAAAGCCTCATTAAAAGTAAATTTTGTTTGCTAGGAATCAGGACTGTTCCCCCAAATTCAGGATGTAGAGTGTGCCTAATGGCTAAGTAGGACATATCAGCAAAGAACGTAAATGATGGGTCATAGCTAACATGGAACACAGGAGTCAGTAGTTGAGTCAAACTCTATGGTCATTTTAGAGGTGGCTAGGTGTTTGTAGTGGGTAGAGTATTGAACCTGGTGTCAGGGGACCTGATTTCAAATCCATATACTTCCTAGCTGTGTGACCCTGGACAAGTCACTCAACCTATGTCTGCTTCAGTTTCCTCATCTATAGAGTGGGGCTAATAATAGTGCCTACCTTATAGGGTTGTTGTGAAGATCGAATGAAATAATATTCATAAAGCACTTTGCAAACCTTAAAGCATTTTATAAATGCTAGCCATCATCATCATCATCATCATCATCATTATTATTATTATTAGCATTATCCTCATTTTTGGCGGAAAATTCTTTAGTGAAAATTTTAAAAATATTTTTGGAGGCTGCCTGCTGTGATGATTAGTAGCCTTTGTTTAGCCAGTTAGTATTTATTAATCTATATCTGTATTAGAAACATTGATCCCAAAGGAATTTTGTGTCCCCATATATTTTTTGTACTTAGAGATCAATTAGGTAAAAGAGGGAGTAGAGGGTTTTACTTTAAATTTTCTTCTTGCATTTGCACAACTTTAGGAATAAGCAAATAGTTAATTCCTCTGAGGTGATTCTTTATAGGTACTGCTAGTAGACTGGCAAAATCATAAAGTGTTAGACCTGGAAGGGACTGTAGAGCTCATCTGGTCTGGTGGTCTCAGACCCCTTTAAGTTGGTTCAAAGTTTTTAGCATTCTGTCTGTTTTCACTCACCTAAATCTGTTTCTCCTCACAAAGTCTCTATAATCCTGTGAGGTATTCCCCTAAACAGAAGGACAAAATGCTACGTAACATGCCTGAAGGAAGGGGTAGAGGACTGCAAAGATTCTGATATATGACCACCCCTTCGTTTTGTAGAAAAGGAAACTGAGGCCTTAAGAATGACCTACCTACGTGATTGATAAAGCTAAGAAGGAAGAAAAATGTTTCTTATACACTATGGCCAGACCCTCAGCTTATATCCATATCCATTACCTCAGAACATCTTTCCTTGAGAAGTCTCAATTAGCCTCATTCAACGAACACATCTGACCTCAAGTATCAGAAATAAAATTGGCCCTTCTGTCTACCAAAGGCATCTTTATTGAAATTCTTTGTCTTGTCTCCAAGGAGGCACACCTTTCCCACTTTTATAGTCAATTGGGCAGACCCAGCTACATTTCATTTTGCCTTAAAAATTATCAAAGGTTATTTCTATCTATTGAAAGGACATATAATCCTAAATAATCCTAAAAATCTTCAAAACTGGATAATAATACCCCCAGGTACAGAGCCACTAAAAACTTATATGACTGTGGCTTAATTGCTTAACCTTTCTTGGCCTTTCTTTCATCACCTATAAAACAACAAGACTGTACTAGCTAATATCTGAGGTCTTTTCCAGGTCTAACATTCTGCGATCTATGATCTGTATCAACCATAAAG